GCTTCCGTTCTCGAAGTCTATTTGTTGATGGAAATTATTGCATATGACGACATTTTTTTTGCTTTCAATTGCTAGGTCTATGTCCTCGCTACCCATGGGCTGCTGACGGGCGATGCTGCCAACAGGCTCGAGCAGAGTCAAATCGACGAGGTTGTTGTCACCAACACGGTGCCGCATGTGCTCCAAAAGATGCAATGTCACAAGATTCGCACAGTTGACATCAGCATTCTGCTCGCCGAGGCCATCCGTCGCATCCACAACAAGGAGTCAATGTCCTACCTATTTATGGATATCCCGAAAAATGAGTAGTTTTACTGCGCGCGAGCGCGCGCGAACTCTCCGGAACATTACATTCCCTTCTAGTCGACGCTGTTTCTCGGTCTTCCTCATCCCCATCTGACTGCCAGCGAGTCTTTTCACAGTTTATTATCAAAGCTATTATCATCATCCTCACCATACTCATCCCCTCCTGAGACGCACAACTTCGCTCCCGTTTGGGTGCGCGGACTCTTGCAAGCCTGTCAGTATGCAACTTCAACTTCCTACCAACCGCCTGCCTATTTCGCAGTTTCGGCCTCCTCCTTCTGAATGTTCACTTGGCGTCTTTAAACGGATTTTGCAGCACAAAATGAGATCTAATTAGTAGTACCTCTCTCACTGTACTTGCGCTATTTTTTGTAGTTTAATTACTGCACACATTTTATTTAAGCCAGTTGTCAGTCCGTTATGCGTGAATGCATTTGCTATGGATTGTTAAATGAGATTTCCATCCAATCTTCTGTATCCGCAGTATACGATGCTTCTGGTTTTGGTCTAGTATCATGACAGTTGGATTATCGATTACAATAGGATCCACTAGTTGCTCCCGGAGAATGGTGGAGAAGGACTTGTGCATAATTAAGTTGATAGTGGTAGTAGAGAAGAAGACGACTTGATCGCTGGGACAATACTTTTATTCGTCTGAAGTTTCGATATCCGTTGCGGATTCGTCATCAGAAACATAGTCGGAGAGCAATAGCAGATAGGGTAGCACATGCACAGGAGTTTGCAGTGCTTATAGGATACAGTTACTACTGCAAATATACAACAACAATTAACGTTAATTGCCTTCTTGCGTGTTTATAGTTTGTTGAGAAGCATGCTGGCTCTGACCAGCCGAACTTTCAGCAGGCGCGGTGGACTCGTGCGTGATGATTGCCCGGTCATCTGGCCCTCTGAGTCCATCACGCGTGATGAAAGGTCAGCAGGTCAGAGCCTGCATGCCGTTCAACAGACCACAAACACTCAAGAAGTCAATTATGGTTAATTGTCGTCATATGTTTGCAGTAATTACTGTATCGTATAAATACCGCAAACTCCTGTGCATGTGCTACCCTATCTGCTATTGCTCCCTGACTATATCTCTGATGACGAATCCGCGACGGATATCGAAACGTCAGGAGAATAAAAGTATTGTTCCAGCGATCGAGTGGTCTTCTTCTCAGTTACTTCCTGCGACTCACATGTTGGCTTGTATTAGTGATGGTAGACTTGTGCTGCATCTACCTTATTCTCGCCTGGACCCGGTGTCATGAACAAGTCAACAATACCGGACACAGACAAAGTGCAGGCGGATGGCATGGTCAGAATCGTCCCCAAAACCTGTTCTCGCAATGACTCGGACCCCACTCAGTAGAAGTACCGTAGTGGTCACACTAGGAAGAAGTCATTGCAGCGTAACTCTGCCAGTCAGCTACTCCACAGAAACGCAAACTGGGCTTACAGCGAGGCCTTACTTATCCGGCCAGATGGCGACCTTCCAAATGGCAGCCTTTCAGCGCACCATGATAATCTCAGGCTCAGCTAACGCGGGTAGTACAAAAGCAACTTGGGGGGGATGCCGATTACGTGCTTCCAGTGCGTGATGTTAGGCGTGTTCATGTGTGGTAGAGAAATGTGGTAGGGCTCAAGGTAGGTTAACGTAGGTTTTCATTAAGATGTGTGTGGCCTAATAAGCCCATGCGGTGACTGCATGTGCGCGTAGACGGATGCGACAGGTGTATGCTAGGCCCCTTGGCACTGATGTGCTGGTCTGACTGTGATGGATTCGTGGGTGGTTGGCAGGGTTGATGTGTGAGGTGAATCTGCGATCACAAGGAGGGCAGGTTGGGATCGAGTTTCCATTGGTGATGGTAGTGAGAGAAGGGGCTAACGGGGAGAGAGAAAAAGAGGTAAGGTTCATTTTGCAAATAGCATTCCAAAATTGCCAGCAAAATGGCACAGAAGCCACACAACACCGAGTAATTACAAGCAATTGATAATGGCCAAATGCTACTATTGTCGACCTCGTGGGGAAATGTCATTGACTGTGTCGGAAAATGTAGACCAGACTGGACTTCTTCAGTTATCCGTTAGCGTCGTGCGCTGATGATCCCTTTGTTGTAGTTCAAATAAACAATAAGAGGCAAAAATTGGTTTCTAATGGGCGTCCTGGGCCAACCGATGTACAGTAGTCGCCG